GATAGTCCATGGTTCATTGATCTTTCGAAGTTGATGAAAGTGTTGTTGGAAAGATTCACGTAACGCAGATATGGTAGCGTCCATAACCAGCCAGGAACTTGACCTTTGATTTTGTTGTTGGAAATGTCTAGAGTCTCCATACGCTGCTGGGTTCTTAGAAGTTCTGGAAATTCGGTAATACCACAGCTTGACAGGTTTAAATAAGTTATCACCTGTGAAGGAGAATCTGAAACTGAACTGTTGTTTGTGGCCAAAACATGGTTCCCTGAGAGATCTAATTCTTCGAGTGTCTTGGAAAATGATGAGATTGCATGCAAGTCAACCGTTGTTGTAGTGTTCAGATGGGAGAGGTAAAGACTGGAAAGCGACTTGAGATGCGAGAAGATAGTGAGGTCAACTGGGCCTTGGGTGTTCCAATGGGAAAGGTCAAGATCTGCGAGGTTGACTAATTTGGAAATGGATCCAGGGATTGGCCCTCTGAAGTTGTTATCTCTAAGGTCTAACCCTTGTAGCTTAGATGGTGAAGATATATTCCCAAACTCAAGAGTGCCGTTGAGTTGGTTATCTAACAAATAAATAGATGTCAAAGAAGGAAGGGCGAAGAGAGAAGAAGGAATGGTTCCAACGAAATTGTTGCCACCTGCGTGAAAATACTCCAAGTTGGAGAGTGAGCTAATGTTTGGAGGAAGCATTCCTGTGAGTTGATTGGAGTAGAGTGATAAAGACGACATCGTTGTCAAATTTAGTAGTGCAATGGGAAAGTTTCCACTGAGATGATTGGTATCTAATATTAAGTAGGTCAACTGTTTCAAACTGCCAAAAGAAGATGGGATTTCACCATTGAAACTGTTACCGCTGAGGTGAAGAGTTTCCAGACGAGAGAGCTTTGTAATTGAAGATGGAATCTGACCCCAAAACTGATTATAAGAAAGGTCGAGAGAGGTGAGATGTGAAAGGTTTCCAATTGAGGATGGAATCTGACCAGAGAACCGATTAACAGAAAGAGTGAGAGAGGTGAGAATTGAAAGATTTTCAATTGAAAATGGAATCTGACCAGAAAATTGATTACCAGAAAGAGCGAGAGAGGTGAGATTGGAAAGAGTTCCAATTGAAGACAGAATCTGGCCAGAGAAATGATTACTAGTAAGGTTGAGAGAGGTGAGATGAGAAAGTTTTCCAATGGAGGATGGGATATGACCATACAAATCATTATATGAAAGGTCTAGAGTTGTTAGAAAACGAATGTTTTGAAAGGTATTCGAATGAAACCTGCCATGGAGGCAGCTGCAACTGAGGTCTAGCTCTATCACTTCCCCAGAACTGGCATCGCACGTGATACCATCCCAATAACAACAATCAGTGTTATTTCCCCATGACTCCGTCTTCGGATAAGCAGCTCCACCAATATAATAATGACAGTCAAGATCAGAAGAAGACTTTCCAATCTCAAACTCGTTCTTGAAGTCGAGAAGTGCATCCCTTTGTTCAGGAGGACACACATGTTTAGTAGGAATTGCAGACACGTTTTGAAAGTAAAATATGAAAGAGAAGAGAAAAGAAAAAGTAATATGAATGGTTCTCATTGAGTTTCGTTCTTCTTCTTTAAGCTAGTTTAATTTACTTCAATACCAATAATGAAGAACCGAATGATGGAAATGGTGATAGTAAAACATGGTTTCATGCCCATCTCTTTATATACTCAGATTGACTCTCACCATCAAGTCTTTGTACGAAGTGTTATTCACGTTGAGCAAAGAGATTAAATGTATTTGTGTTCCAAACATTTTGGTCCAACCAAATTAAAAGATATACAGAACCAAATTAATGAAAAAGAAATTAGATATACAATACAAAAGAGTACAAGTCAAGAAGAGACGATTAGTTATGGGTAATGATAATCATGTGGTCGAGGTAAAGAGAGCTCTCAGGAAGAAGATAAGTTCGAAAAAGAAAGAGAGACTTTGAAATTGAGGAGTTGAGAGCAGAGTTGGCTTACTTTTCAAGTCATCGTCTTTCGTCTTTTCCCCCGTGAAACAAAACTCACCAGTCAATATTGCTGAATAGTCTGAGAATTCTATTTGTTTGTTTGTTTGGTTTCATTTGTCATGATACATTTTTTTTTCTTTGTTCGAGTTTGATTTCTATAATTTGTTCAATTGCGTTGTGATACTAAATAATCTAATCGAATTACTGTATATTTCTTTGTGGTCTAGATATATGTTTAAACTAATTATAACGTCGAGTATGCCTTGTTTGTTTTCGATCGCCCCTGGTTTTGGTGTCTATCGAGTTCTTTCATCTAACAAATTTTATTTTTAATAGTCTCCAAAGACTAAACAATAACATAAACTTTTACACTGAAAGTTGTCTTACGTAAGGTTGATGACTTGGTTTAGTAACAACAAAAACAATACAAAATATGATACGGTACTAAAGTATATATTCTGTGAACTTAACTGTACTGTTCATTTCTGATAAGTTCTCATCTTTGTTTATAAGATTATAATGAAAAGGCATGATGAGCTTATTTTGTTTATTGTTGTTGATTTCTATGATTATGTTCAATGCTAATTCTGTTGTGTTCATAGTCGCTGATAAGTTATCTCCTACAAAATCATTGATTAGCTGATTATTTTTACTGTTGAACATTGGTCCAATTATCTTCTTTAGAATAAGCATGCAAATAAAAACTATGATGCGCACTATGGACAGAAGGCATGCAAATAAATTATTTTGAAAGCTCTGCAAAACCAACGAGAAGCCAAAGAGAATAAGTATTATCTCTTCTTGGAACTGAAATGAAGTAGCGCTTGCTTGCAACACAAGCATCTATTACTGTGCCTCTATCTCATTTGTCACAGTACCTGTGATTGTTTTAGCTGTCTGGTAGACAAAATCAGGAAGGAAGTCAAGCCAGAATAAAGAAGACTTTTTTTTTTCACTATATAAAAAAAGGAATTATACTATTTATTGATTCAAGAGAGTACTTATTAGTTTGTTTTCCTAGCAAGATGTATCCAAAATGGTATTGTTCAAAGTTTTCCCACTCTTTCACGCCAATATATATATATATATGCAAACAACTCTTAAGAAATTTTGATCATCGACAAACAATTTTGCTCTGTTTTTATATATTACTAGACTTTTAACTCGCGCTACACGTGAATCTGTATTAATAATTTGTTTTTATTTTTTTGGTTAATATCTTTTAGATTAACAAAACTATAATATATTTATAGAAATTTTCTTTTATATCAACAAATTAAAACATAATATGTAATTTTTTTTTATTTTTTATTTATAAAGTTATAAGTCTTATTAAGTAAAATCATATTAATGACACCTAACGAATTATCCAGCTTCGACGTGCATATGTTTAACTTAGAAAATGATTTTCTTACTAATTTTTTGGTGTTTTGTTTTGTGTTCTTAGAATTTCTATAGTTCTTTTTTTTTTAAGTTTCTATGTTTAAATATTTAGTTTTTTACTAAATATTTCGTTGATGTTATGTACATATACATATATGATATATGTTGATTCGGATTTACTTTTGTTAATATGCTACACTAACCGTGTAAAGCTATTTTTTGCTTCTCTACCAGATCTTCAACGAATTTTAGGTAATATATCTATTCAGTTTATAAGATCTATTTTATTTGCATTCAACTATTTGCTAATTTTTGTTTTTAAACAGGTAAGATGGTGTGGAGACTTTACATTATCACCGTTTTTTATCTTTTGTGTGTTCTATTCACGTTTTGATTTGAATAGTCTACCTAGATATATTCCAATTTGAACTTGATTCATAGCTTTGTCATATTTTATTATAAATAAAATTTTAGAAGATGTTTTTCATGTGTTATTCATGTTGGCTAAGTTATAAGCAGTAACTATGTATAAAAATCAGACTTTATTACTTGTTAAATTTTGAATGTAAAATTACTTGTATAGTATTTTTCTTTGTTAGTTCTTAAACCAGACGCATCTAATGTATTAGTCTTTGTAAATTTAAATAATATGTTTGATTTAGAAGCTTGTATAACATACTATAACTTTATATGCCTATTCATACTCAACACCAATATTTTAGAAATCATGAATTTTCTGGAACTACATTTCAAACTAATTTTCTTCTTATATCTTGTTTTTTTTGTTATTTTAAATATCTTCGATGGTAATTTTATATTTTTTTTAATTATCTAATTTTTTGCATGTTTAATATATTAGTTAATCTCTTTTATTATTGATTTTTTAAATAGGTACCATATATATCAATTTAATATATTTTAGATAAAAAATTCTCTTTGTTAAATTTACTTTTTAAATTAATTAAAATACTATTTTGACATGCTATAACTGGTTATTCTAAATTTCATGTGAACTTCTCTTAAAAGCTTATACCATCATTTGCTTTTTTTAGTTAATTTGTTTTTTGTTAGTTAGCCTAAATATCAATCTAATTTTATTTTATACGACTTTTCCTTTGATCATTTACCTTTCTTGATATTGATTTCTATTTTATTTTAACACATAATTGTTTTGAAAATATTGATAATTTGAAGACATGATTTTATTTACTTTTTGTTAGTTAAATATTTTTATATAGATTTCTTAAATAGTTAGTCAGATATCAAGTTAATATATTTTTAGGTGTTATCGTCTGGAATATCACATTCAATTGGTAATTCTGGTCCATCGGACGTTAAGAATTGCGCCAAGTTCAAAGTCGTGAGATAGAACACCATCTTTTGCTGCCATCTTTTGAAATCTACGCATCGGAACACAAAAGGCTTCTCGATGTGATTTTTCACACTTGCAGCAGATTCTGTCTTAGATTGTTGTTTAAGAAGTTATAGATGCAGATCAAATCACGTATCAATATACGTTTGTTTTATTGAATAGATACAAATCAAAACAGAATCGATACAAAACAGAAAACTTGGGAGAACCGTATGATGATCAGTTTAAATCCATAGATGAGCAGCCTTGTAATGATGATATGGAACTCGCGGTAGTTGAATTCAATCAAATTCTCGTGCAAGAACCGAAGAAAGTGGGATGTGATGATCTACATATGTCTGAGGCCGTGGATGTTCAGCCTCTGAGCATTTGTTTGCCGGATGGTAATGATGAGAATGTGGGGATTGGCTCTTTTGAAGAGCCAAACATTGTGAAGACGAAAGAGCTTACTGTAAGATCAGGGACAACGAGTAAGCTGGGGTCTGGCGGTAGCAGAAGACAGGCGAAGAAAGGGGTTGCCTTTCATGAACCCTTGAAGGTTAACAAGAAGATCATTCGAGAGAATGGTGAAGGATCAAGGTTGAAGAACGGTGTGAAGAGGAGCTTAGATACACGTGAGAGGGTAACTCCGGATTCTCCTGACGAGGAACCAGCTCGAAAGACTCGAAGATTACAAGTCATGATCCCTCCTTCGCGTCCCAGTGGCTCAGGCGGCGGTGATAGTGCTCGGAGCAAAGTCAAGGAAACTCTACGTCTTTTCTATGGAACTTGTCGAAAACTCTTGCAGGAGGAAGAAGCAAAGCCTATGAAGACTAAGCGCTTCAGAGTCGATTTCGAGGCTATTAATATTCTCAAAAGCAAAGGGAGATATCCCAGCGCCGGAGCTAATCAGATTATGGGAACTGTTCCTGGTGTTGAGGTTGGAGACGAGTTTCAGTATAGGATGGAGCTGAACATGCTCGGCATACACAGACCGAGCCAAGGCGGTATCGACTATATGAAGATCGGCAGCGACATCTTCGCCACGAGCATTGTAGCCTCCGGAGGGTACAACGACGTGCTTGATAACTCCGATGTCTTGACCTACACAGGTCAAGGCGGAAACGCGATGATGAAACCAAAGAGAGGAGAGCAAGTAAAAGGTCCCGAAGACCAAAAGCTTGTTACGGGAAACTTGGCTTTAGCAAACAGTATAAACAAGAAGAACCCTGTGCGTGTCATAAGAGGCAACAAGAAGGCGGTTTTGGAGTCATCGTCAGGTGCAAGCAAAGGTGGGAACTATGTCTACGACGGGTTATACGTTGTGGAAGAGTATTGGCAAGAAACCGGATCACACGGGAAGCTCGTCTTCAAGTATAAACTCAAGCGTATACCTGGACAGCCCGAGCTATCGTGGAAAGTGGTGAAGCAAACGAAGAAGTCGGAGAACCGTGAAGGTTTATGCAGGCTTGACATCTCAGAAGGGCACGAGAGGTTACCGATTTGCGCGGTGAACGAAATCGACGACGAGGAGCCTCCTCCGTTCATCTACACGGCTAAGATGATTTACCCGAAGTGGCTCACGCGGATCCCTCCAAAGGGATGCGGCTGCACGAAGCGATGCACGGAGAGTAGAAACTGCGCCTGCGTGGCGAAAAACGGAGGAGAGATACCTTACAACTACGATGGGAACATAGTCTATCCAAAGAGCTTGATCTACGAGTGTGGCCCTCTCTGCAAATGCCCTCCTGCTTGCTACCTAAGAGTCACGCAGCGAGGGATCAGGTTCAAGCTCGAGATCTTCAAAACCGAGTCGAGAGGTTGGGGAGTGAGATCTCTCAGCTCGATACCTTCGGGTAGCTTCATATGCGAGTACGTCGGCGAGCTTTTGGAGGATAAAGAAGCTGAGAGAAGGACAGGGAACGACGAGTATCTCTTTGACATTGGGAACAAATACGACAACACTTTCGCTGAAGGGATGTCGAAGCTAATGCCAGGGATGGAGAAAGAGAAAGAAGAAGATGGTGGCGATGGTGGTGAGACGACGGGGTTCACCGTCGACGCCGCGAAGAAAGGGAACATCGGGAGGTTTATAAACCACAGCTGCTCGCCGAATCTGTATGCGCAGAACGTGTTGTATGATCACGAAGACAAGAGGATCCCTCACGTGATGCTCTTTGCGATGGACAATATACCTCCGCTTCAAGAACTCACTTACCATTATAATTACATGATCGACCAGGTACGCGATGTTAACGGTAATATAAAGAAGAAGATTTGCTACTGTGGTTCTTCTGAGTGTACCGGTAGGCTCTATTAATCATTGATTAGCCTCGAAACTTTTCTCCCCTTGTTTTAAACTCAGATTCTTCTTGTTTTTATGTTATTCATGAACAGTTTATGTTATAGCGTAGAATCTATATAATTTAATATACCATATAGCAGCAGCTAAGAACAGAACCGATGTTAGAATCAATGCAGCATTTTGGTTTCTGTTTTGTTCTTTCAAGTATTGGCGATGTCAGGAAGAGATCTTTTTTACCTGAACGATACCGACAAGAGGAGAAGAAGGAACATCGCCAAATATGTGAATCGCAACGGTAGAGATAGCCATTGATAATGGTCTTAAACTTGGTTTCACAAAATGTAGACACATAGTTCATGTTATGGTAAATATATCTCTTTTGATAAATCCTCTTACGATTGGACCTTAACTATGTACAATCAAGTCCATCAAATAAACAGGAATACATTTGTCCTATAAATTCATAGAAATACAAACATTGGCTAAAGAAAAAGTAAAAGAGAAAAACAGAGGAAAGAACACAACAAAAACAGAGTAACCGGAAACAATAACTGAAATCAAGACACTGATAAATGGGTTGCCTTCTCCCCCAAGCTTCTTTCTCTTTCCCAAAGATTCTTCAAGTTGGGTTTACGAAGGCTACACAAACGAAATATACGTTAGTTTCACTTATTCATTCATCCAGAAAATTCTATTATAATATATTTTTTCAAATTCAGAAACATTACCTCTCTAGTTAGCTGTGGTGCTTCTTCTTCTTCGGCGTTTGTTTCGACCAAAAGGACTCGTGAAGCACTCTGGTTTGTATGAAACCAATATGTACCCAATCGCCAACCCAAACGCAATCCCAGGTACAAATCCTATTGCAGCTGCAATCCAACTTAACACCTCTTCATTTTCTTCTTCTGGTTCTGGCGTTTCAGACTGTTGCGATGAAGGCTTGTGGATATCTCCGCAATCATCTTCAAGAGCAGGGCCGAAAAGTCCCAAGTTGTCGTCAAAAGAAGAGCAGTTCAGCCTTCGAAACTGAGTGCCTCCTGGTAATAGACCTACAAGCTGGTTATGGGAGAAGTTCATGTACGAAAGGAATGAGAGATTCCCTAGCTCTTGTGGAATTTCTCCTGAAAGCTTGTTTTGGGAAACGTCTAGTGACTCGAGAGCTGTAAGGTTCCCCATGGACGATGGTATGCGGCCATTGAAAGCATTGTTTGACAAGTTGAGCACGTGAAGCTCTTTCAGTAAACCGATGGACTTTGGAATCTCGCCTTCAAGTTTGTTTCCAGAGAAGTCGAGTGCTGTGAAGACTTTTAGGATACGTTCTAGCTCCAATAATACACCTTTATTCATCAAAACCATTGAATCATGGTAATAGCCTCCTCCCATGTACTTTCTAGTCGACTTATCTTCGTTTATCCCAAGAGATGCCATTGCACTCCAACTCACAAAACAATCAGCTGGTAAAATTCCGCTGAAGTGATTATGTGAGATGTCCATGATTTTCAACTGAAAGAACGAGGCTTGATGTAATGGTCCATGGAATGCATTGGAGCGTAAGACAAGAACTTGCAGGTTCTGTAGAGAACTCAACCAGAAGGGAAACGTGTCGTTGATTCTGTTGCTTTCCACATTCAGAACTTCAAGAGCGGAGAAATGGATCAAAGATCTTGGAAGCTTTCCCACCAATTGGTTATTTCCAATGTCAAGCGTTCTTAGACCTTTAAATACATTCTTCAGAAGACCTCCACTAAGACGGTTCTGACGTAGGTTCAGAACTGATAGATTGCTCTTGAGATTTCCCATACAAAGAGGGATTGAACCATTGAAGTTGTTGCTTGATAAATCTAGAGTGCTTAGAGAGTGCAACTCGCATATAAGAGATGGAATCTCTCCTGCGAAGTTATTTTTAGAGCCAGACAAGTACTCCAGGGCAAAGGATAGTCCATGGTTCATTGATCTTTCGAAGTTGATGAAAGTGTTGTTGGAAAGATTCACGTAACGCAGATTTGGTAGCGTCCATAACCAGCCAGGAACTTGACCTTTGATTTTGTTGTTGGAAATGTCCAGAAACTCCATATCCTGTTGGGTTCTCAGAAGTTCTGGAAATTCGGTAATACCGCAGCCTGACAAGTTTAACTGACTTATCATCTGTGAAGGAGAAACTGAAACTGAACTGTTGTTTGTGGCTAAAACATGGTTTCCGGAGAGATCCAATGAAAATGTGTCAAGCGACTTGGAAAATGATGAGATTGCATTCAAGTCAATCGTTGTTGTGGTGTTCAGATGGGAGAGGTAAAGACTGGAAAGTGACTTGAGATGCGAGAAGATACTGAAGTCAACTGGGCCTTGGGTGTTCCAATGGGAAAGGTCAAGATGCTCAAGATTGACTAATTTGGAAATGGATCCAGGGATTGGCCCTCTGAAGTTGTTACCGTCAAGGAGTAACCATTCTAGCTTAGATGGTGAAGATATATTCTCAAACTCAAGAGTGCCGTTGAGTTGGTTATCTGACAAAAAAATGGCTGTCAAAGAAGGAAGGGCGAAGAGAGAAGAAGGAAGGGTTCCAACGAAATTGTTATAATGTGCGAAAAAACCCTCCAAGTTGGAGAGGAAGCGTTCCTGTGAGTTGATTGTAGCTCAGTGATAACCGTGACAGCTTTGTCAAATTTAGTAGTGCAATGGGAAAGTTTCCACTGAGATGATTGGTATCTAATATTAAGTAGGTCAACTGTTTCAAACTGCCAAAAGAAGATGGGATTTCACCATTGAAACTGTTACCGCTGAGGTGAAGAGTTTCCAGACGAGAGAGTTTTGTAATTGAAGATGGAATCTGACCCCAAAACTGATTATAAGAAAGGGAGAGAGAGGTGAGATGTGAAAGGTTTCCAATTGAGGATGGAATCTGCCCAGAGAACCGATTAACAGAAAGGTCGAGAGAGGTGAGAATTGAAAGATTTTCAATTGAAAATGGAATCTGACCAGAAAATTGATTACCAGAAAGAGCGAGAGAGGTGAGATTGGAAAGAGTTCCAATTGAAGACAGAATCTGGCCAGAGAAATGATTACTAGAAAGAAAGAGAGAGGTGAGATGAGAAAGGTTTCCAATGGAGGATGGGATATGACCATACAAATCATTATATGAAAGGTCTAGAGTTGTTAGAAAACGAATGTTTTGAAAGGTATTCGAATGAAACCTGCCATGGAGGCAGCTGCAACTGAGGTCTAGCTCTATCACTTCCCCAGAACTGGCATCGCACGTGATACCATCCCAATAACAACAATCAGTGTTATTTCCCCATGACTCCGTCTTCGGATAAGCAGCTCCACCAATATAATAATGACAGTCAAGATCAGAAGAAGACTTTCCAATCTCAAACTCGTTCTTGAAGTCGAGAAGTGCATCCCTTTGTTCAGGAGGACACACATGTTTAGTAGGAATTGCAGACACGTTTTGAAAGTAAAATATGAAAGAGAAGAGAAAAGAAAAAGTAATATGAATGGTCCTCATTGAGTTTCGTTCTTCTTCTTTAAGCTAGTTTAATTTACTTCAATACCAATAATGAAGAACCGAATGATGGAAATGGTGATAGTAAAACATGGTTTCATGCCCATCTCTTTATATACTCAGATTGACTCTCACCATCAAGTCTTTGTACGAAGTGTTATTCACGTTGAGCAAAGAGATTAAATGTATTTGTGTTCCAAACATTTTGGTCCAACCAAATTAAAAGATATACAGAACCAAATTAATGAAAAAGAAATTAGATATACAATACAAAAGAGTACAAGTCAAGAAGAGACGATTTGCTATGGGTAATGATAATCATGTGGTCGAGGTAAAGAGAGCTCTCAGGAAGAAGATAAGTTCGAAAAAGAAAGAGAGACTTTGAAATTGTAGGAGTTCAGAGCAGAGTTGGCTTACTTTTCAAGTCATCGTTTTTCGTCTTTTCCCCCATGAAACAAAACTCACCAGTCAATATTGCTGAATAGTAAATTCTATTTGTTTGTTTGTTTGGTTTCATTTGTCATGATATATTTTTTTTCTTTGTTCGAGTTTGATTTCTATGATTTGTTCAATTGCGTTGTGATACTAAAAATAGATTAATCTAATCGAATTACAGTATATTTCTTTGAGGTCTAGATATATGTATAAACTAATTATAACGTCGAGTATGCCTTGTTTGTTTTCCTTCGCCCCTGGTTTTGGTGTCTATCGAGTTCTTTCATCTAACCAATTTTATTTTTAATAGTCTCCAAAGACTAAACAATAACATAAACTTTTACACTGAAAGTTGTCTTACGTAAGGTTGATAACTTGGTTTAGTAACAACAAAAACAACACAAAATATGATACAGTACTAAAGTATATATTCTGTGAACTTAACTGTACTGTTCATTTCTGATAAGTTCTCATCTTGTTTATAAGATTATTATGAAAAGGCATGATGAGCTTATTTTGTTTATTGTTGTTGATTTCTATGATTATGTTCATTGCTAATTCTGTTTATAAGCTTATCAGCATTTGTGTTCATAGTCGCTGATAAGTAATTCTCCTACAAAATCATTGATTAGCTGATTATGTTAACTGTTGAACATCGATCCAATTATCTTCTTTAGAATAAGCATGCAAATAAAAACTATGATGCGCACTATGGACAGAAGGCATGCAAATAAATTATTTTGAAAGCTCTGCAAAACCAACGAGAAGCCAAAGAGAATAAGTATTATCTCTTCTTGGAACTGAGATGAAGTAGCGCTTGCTTGTAACACAAGCATCTATTACTGTGTCTCTATCTCATTTGTCACAGTAGCTGTGATTGTTTTATCTGTCTGGTAGACAAAATCAGGAAGGAAGGCAAGCCAGAATAAAGAAGACTTTCTTTTTTTTCACTATATAAAAAAAAGGAAATATACTATTTATTGTTCCAAGTTTTCCCACTCTTTATACAAACAACTCTTAAGAAATTTTGATCATCGACAAACAATTTTGCTCTGCATTTATTTGTTATAATCTAAGATAAACAAATAAAAAAACAATGAAAAACTATATTTTAGATCAATGGTATTTCATCCAGGTAGGTATATCAATGGTAACGATTTTATCATGTGTTTTAGGAAAGCGGTACATGAGAATTCATGAGAAAGCAGAAGATCTTTTTTTAGAGAATAATCAAGTGAAAGAAGACGACAAAAACAAGAACATAAATCCAGAAGAAAATGATATCGAGAAGATTTTATAGGAAAAAAAGATAAAGAACTGAGAAGAAGCACAATGATCACATTCTATACAACCAATAAAAAAGAATTATACAGCCTGAAACGTGTAACTCAAGTTTTTCCATGCAAATTTGAAGCTTTTGTGTGAGATTTGGCTCATTGTGTTTTGTAACTGTACAAATACACACAGATTTCTCTACTTTTGCTATATAGTATTTATTCATTTATGGAGTTACAATCGATTGTTCTTGCCTCCTCTGCTTCTCACTTTCACTTTCTTCTCCATTAAACCGATCTACACTGTTTATAAATATCCCTGCCAAAACAAAATTCGCAACAAAAACAGCTTCTTAATTTGGAACAAGAAAGATTCATTCAGGTTCAAGAACTGAGATTTGCTTTTACCTATAAACCATATTGCAGCAGCTAAGAACAGAACCAATGTAAGAATCAATGCTGTTTTTCTCCAACTGTTTATATGATCCTGCATATACAACAACAATGGAGCATTTTGGTTTCTGTTTTGTTCTTTCAAGTATTGGCGATGACAAGAAGAGATCTTTTTTTACCTGAACGATACCGACAAGAGGAGAAGAAGGAACATCGCCAAATATGTGAATCGCAACGGTAGAGATCGCCATTGATAATGGTCTCAAACTTGGTTCCACACAATGCAAACACACATAATTCACAGGAGCCTGAAGATGAAGAAGAAGAAGACGATTGAGAAATATAAGAATATTACAACAACACAAAGGCTCAAAGTTTTTTTTTACCTGTGTAGCAAACACAAGAAGCTCTCCTAAGGCAAAGAGAGCGATGAAACCGTATAAACTCTTTAAGGTAAATGCAGTGAAGCAAAAGATCGCTCCAAGAAACGTTGCTCCGGATAAAAGCTACATACAAAGATCAAAAGGTTTTGATTCAAAATCCGAAAGCAAAAAGAGAGAAAAAGCTTTTCTTCTTCACCTTGAAAGCATTTGGAATTGTTGCAGTGAAACGATCAAGTATAAACCCTCCTGATAATGTCCCAATGATCCCACAAATGATAGTTAGTGCCCCAAAGATCATATCAGCGTTTTTCTGACAAGATAAAGTTTCTTATCAGAAAACAAAGTTTCAAGAACCCTCAAAAAGAAAGATTGATAGCAACAAAACAAATGTTTCACCATTTTGTAAATGTTATAACCAGCCTTTGGTCCCCAATACGAGTATGCTCCAATAACAAAGTTGTATGATACATAACCTGTTAAGGCAAAGTATATCAATCAATGAAGAAGATAAAGTAAGAAGAATAGTGAAAAGTTAAAGAGGACAAAAATTATTACCTAAGAAATTAACAACAAAGACTTTTTCTTTACATAGAACTTTCGTATCTTTCCCAAATTGAGTAAACGATTTCGAAACTGCGTTCTTGTAACTTGACCTGTCACAGTTGAAGTAAAAAGATTTGATAAAACTAATACAAACGTATGGAAGAAAAGTTTAAAGATAATAAAATCAAACTCACTTGTAAGTTTCAATGGAGACCTCAATCTCATTACCACCAGCTTGAAGATGATTTTTGTTTTTAGATGTCTCTGCGTCGGCAAAATAGACAAAACTCTCACTGCACAACTGTATAATCAAAGCACATTATCATTAACATACAAGAAAGGTGAAAAAAAATTACCAACTGATGAAGCCATCTTTATAGAATCAGTAGAAGGAAACCCTGTTTCATTTTCTTTTCTCAGATCACAATATCTTTAACAGTTTATGTTTTTAATAACAAAAGACAAAATTTTGTTCTTAACCTTTTAACTGTAAAGGTTTCATCAAGAAACCAAGAACAACAAATGGAGCCACTAATACAGCTTCTCCCCAAAACGCATAGCGCCAACTAAAATGCTTTCCAACCTTAAAAAACAACAAGAAGGAATCACAACTTTCTTTAATATCATTAGTCTAAACAATACTAATTCATAAAGGTTTTATACATACGTATCCGCCATAGACATAGCCCAAAGCAACACCACTTGGTATGCACATGTAAAACACACCAAGCCACACAGCTTTCTGAAGAACAAGCAAAAAGGGTTAATCAGAAATGGACTCCATGAGATGTGCAAAAGGTTAAAAGAGAAACCTGTTTGTGAGGAGCATTATCATCTATAAATGGAGCTGCAAGACTGATGAAAGAAGCTTCACCTACACCAACGAACCTACCGAGTAATAATAATAATAATACACAAATGAAAATTTTGGAGAAGGCAAAGTCGAATCATAAACAAGAACAAAACTTAACTTACATGCGACATAAGACGATAAACCAAAAGGCAAAGGAACTGCCAGCAACCAAGAAATGCAATAGTCCAAACAGTTAAGCCTACTCCAATAAGTCTAAATGGATTGAAACTGAACTAAAAACAATAAACAACTTCAATAAGCTGTATTTTGTTTAAGCATTAGAAGAAAAAAACTGAAAAATGTTTCCTAACCTTTTTGCTAACGAAGCAAAGATTGGTGATGCAATAAGAAGTCCAACCATAAATGAAGATGACAACACACCATCTTCGAAATTACTTAGATTGAAATGTCTTCTAGAAGAAGCAACAAAATTGACTAAAACATAGCACTAAATATTAAAAAGCTTTAGGCCTTAAACAACCAAACTCTTACTGAATTCCAGTTGCAGGGTTGCATTTTCCCTTATCATCACAACTCCTGGTACTTCCATTGACACCATTGCTCGCTATAGCACCACGATCCATGTAGTTTAACAAGTTAATGATGCAGAAGATCACAAGTAACCTGAAAAAAAAAGAGTTTTGATGAAGATAATGATGCAGCAAAGAAATACAGAGTTCTGCGTCAAAGACCAAACCAGTATCTTTAGCATATATAAATTGGAATGCAAAGAGATAAAAACACACAATCACAAATGAGATTCAGAGTCTTAAACGGAAGATCAAAGACCATGAAGACAAGAGGATCCCTCACGTGATGCTCTTTGCGATGGACAATATACCTCCGCTTCAAGAACTCACTTACCATTATAATTACATGATCGACCAGGTGCGCGATGTTAACGGTAATATCAAGAAGAAGATTTGCTACTGTGGTTCATCTGAGTGTACCGGTAGGCTCTATTAATCGATTACCCTCAAAACTTTTCTCCACTGTTTTAAACTCAGATTCTTCATTGTTTTTATGTTACTCATCAACAGTTTATGTTATACCGTAGAATCTATATAAATTAATGTAACAGCAGCTAAGAACAGAACCGATGTAAGAATCAATGCTGTTTTTCTCCAACTGTTGATATGATCCTGCATATACAACAACAATGGAGCATTTTGGTTTCTGTTCTTTCAATTATTGGCGATGACAAAAAGAGCCTGAAGAAGAAGAAAGATAGACGAAATTTGTTATGGTAAATATATCTCTTATGATTGGAATTTAACTATGTATAATCATGTCCATCAAATAAACAGGAATCCATAGAAATACAAACATTGGCTAAAGACAAAGTAAAAGAGAAAAACAGAGGAAGAACACAACAAAAACAGAGTAACAGGAAAAAATAACTGAAATCAAGACACTGATAAATGGGTTGCCTTCTCCCCCAAGCTTCATTCTCTTTCTCAAAGATTCTTCAAGTTGGGTTTACAAGGCTACACAAACAAAATATACGTTAGTTTCACTTATTCATTCATCCAGAGAATTCTATTATAATATATTTTTTCAAATTCAGAAACATTACCTCTCTAGTTAGTTGTGGTGCTTCTTCTTCGTCTGCGTTTGTTTCGACCAAAAGGACTCGTGAACCACTCTGGTTTGTATGAAACCAATATGTATCCAATCGTAAACCCAAACGCAATACCAGGTACAAATCCTATTACAGCGGCAATCCAACTGAACACCTCTTCATCTTCTTCTGGTTCTGGCGTTTCAGACTGCTGCGATGAAGGCTTGTGGATATCTCCGCAATCATCTTCAAGAGCAGGGCCGAAAAGTCCCGGGTTGTCTCCGAATGAAGAGCAAGGCTGCGTTCGAAACTGAGTGCCTCCTGGAACTAGACCCACAAGCTGGTTATGGGAGAAGTTCATGTACGAAAGGAATGAGAGATTCCCTAGCTCTTGTGGAATTTCTCCTGAAAGCTTGTTTTGGGAAACGTCTAGTGACTCAAGAGCTGTAAGGTTCCCCATGGACGATGGTATGTGGCCAGTGAAAGCATTGTTTGACAAGTTGAGCACGTGAAGCTCTTTCAATAAGCCGATGGACTTTGGAATCTCGCCTTCAAGTCTGTTTCCAGAGAAGTCGAGTGCTGTGAGGATTTTTAAGATACGTTCCAGCTCCAATGCTACTCCTTTATTCATCAAAACCATTGAATCGTGGTAATAGCCTCCTCCCATGTACTTTTCAGCCGACTGATCTTCGTTTATCCCAAGAGATGACATTTTACTCCAGTTCACAAAACAATCCTCTGGTAAAACTCCGCTGAAGTGATTGTGGGATATGTCGAGGATTTTCAACTGAAGGAACGAGGCTTGATGTATTGGTCCATGGAATGCATTGGAGCGTAAGACAAGAACTTGCAGGTTCTGTAGAGAACTCAACCAGAATGGAAACGTGTCGTTGATTCTGTTGCTTTCCACATTCAGAACTTCAAGAGAGGAGAAATGAATCAAATTTCTTGGAAGCTTTTCAGCCAGTTGGTTATGTCCAAGGTCAAGTGTTCTTAGACCTTTAAATATATTATTCGGAAGACCTCCACTAAGACGGTTCTGACGTAGGTTAAGAACTGAGAGATTGCTCTTGAGATTTCCCATACAAAGAGGTATTAAACCATTGAAGTTGTTGTTTGATAAATCGAGAACCCTTAGAGAGCGCAACTCACATATGAGAGATGGAATCTCTCCAGAAAACTTGTTTTGGGAAACGTCTAGTGACTCGAGAGCTGTCAGGTTCCCTATAGATGATGGTATGTGGCCACTGAAAGCATTGTTTGACAAGTTGAGCACGTGAAGCTCTTTCAGTAAACTGATGGACTTTGGAATCTCGCCTTCAAGTTTGTTTCCAGAGAAGTCGAGTGCTGTGAAGACTTTTAGGATACGTTCTAGCTCCAATAATACACCTTTATTCATCAAAACCATTGAATCATGGTAATAGCCTCCTCCCATGTACTTTCCAATCGACTTATCTTCGTTTATCCCAAGAGATGCCATTGCACTCCAACTCACAAAACAATCAGCTGGTAAAATTCCGCTGAACTGATTATGTGAGATGTCCATGATTTTCAACTGAAAGAACGAGGCTTGATGTAATGGTCCATGTAATGCATTGGAGCGTAAGACAAGAACTTGCAGGTTCTGTAGAGAACTCAACCAGAACGGAAACGTGTCGTTGATTCTGTTGCTTTCCACATTCAGAACTTCGAGAGCGGAGAAATGGATCAAAGATCTTGGAAGCTTTCCCACCAATTGGTTATTTCCAATGTCAAGCGTTCTTAGACCTTTAAATACATTCTTCGGAAGACCTCCACTAAGACGGTTCTGACGAAGGTTTAGAATTGATAGATTGCTCTTGAGATTTCCCATACAAAGAGGGATTGAACCATTGAAATTGTTGTTTGATAAATCCAGAATGCTTAGAGAGTGCAACTCGCATATGAGAGATGGAATCTCTCCTGTGAAGTTGTTTTTAGAGCCAGAAAAGTACTCCAGGGCAGAGGATAGTCCATGTTTCATTGATCTTTCGAAGTTGACGAAAGTGTTTTTTGAAAGATTAACGTAATACAGATTTGGCAGTGTCCATAACCAGCCAGGAACTTGACCTTTGATTTTGTTGTTGGAAATGTCTAGTTTCTGCATACGCTGCTGGGTTCTTAGAAGTTCTGGAAATTGGGTAATACCGCAGCCTGACAAGTTTAAATAAAATATCATCTTTGAAGGAGAATCTGAAACTGAACTTTTGTTGTTTGTGGCTAAAACATGGTTCCCTGAGAGATCTAATACTCCGAGTGACTTGGAGAATGATGAGATTGCATGCAAGTCAATCGTTGTTGTAGTGTTCAAATGGGATAATCTAACTACTTGGAGCGACTTGAGATGCGAGAAGATAGTGAGGTCAACTGGGCCTTGGGTGTTCCAATGGGAAATGTCAAGAAACTCAAGATTGACTAATTTGGAAATGGATCTGGGGATTGGCCCTCTGAAGTTGTTACCGCTAAGGTATAACACTTGAAGCTTAGGTGGTGAAGATATATTCCCAAACTCAAGAGTGCCGTTGAGTTGGTTATTTGACAAATCAATATATGCCAATAAGGAATGTTGAAGAGAGAAGAAGGAATGGTTCCAACCAAAGCGTTATCATATGCGTAAAAATACTCCAAGTTGGAGAGTGAGCTAATGTTTGGAGGAAGCGTTCCTGTGAGCTGATTGGAGCTCAGTAATAAAGTCGACAGCTTTGTCAAATTAAGTAGAGCAACAGGAAAGTTACCACTAAGCTTACTGAAGTCTAAATCTAAGTAGGCCAACTGTTTCAAACTGCCAAAAGAAGATGGAATCTCACCATTGAAATTGTTATAGCCGAGGTCAAGAGTTTGGAGATGTGAAAGGTTTCCAATTGAAGATAGAATCTGACCCGAAAACTGATTAAAAGAAAGGCTGAGAGAAGTGAGATTTGAAAGAGTTCCAATTGAAAATGGAATCTGATCCGAAAACTGATTACAAGAAAGTTTGAGAGAGGTGAGATGAGAGAGTTTTCCAATGGAGGATGGGATTTGACCATATAAATCATTTTTTGAAAGGTCTAGAGAAGATAGAAAACGAATGTTTTGAAAGGTATTCGAATGAAACCTGCTATGGAGGTGACTGCAGCTGAGGTCGAGCTTGATCACTTCCCCAGACTTGGCATCGCACGTGATACCATCCCAATAACAACAATCACTGTTATTTCCCCATGACTCCGTCTTCGGATGAGGCCTTACAGCTCCACCAATAGAATAATGACACTCAAGATCAAAAGAAGACTTTCGAATCTCAAACTTGTTCTTGAACTCGAGAAGTGCATCCCTTTGTTCAGGACGACACACATGCCTAACAGGAACCGCAGACATGTTTTGAAAATAAAGTATAAAAGAGAAGAGAACAAAAAAAGTAATATGAATGGTCCTCATTGAGTTCCAGGAGCCTTACGTTGTTTAATTTTCTTCAATACCAATAATGAAGAAGCGAAAGATGGGAATGGTGATAATTTGGTTTCATGCCCATCTCTTTATATAGATTTCATATAGAGAGTGCTCCAGATTCACTCAGATTGACTCACCATCAAGTCTTTGTACGAAGTGTTATTCACGTTGAGAAAACAGCGTAAATGTATTTTGGTCCAACCAAATTAAAAGATATACACAACAAAGAATAACGAAATCCTTAATGAAAAAGAAATTAGATATACATTACAAAAAGAGTACAAGTCAAGAAGAGACGATTTGCTATGGGTAATGATAATCATGTGGTCGATGTAAAGAGAGCTCTCAGGAAGAAGATAAGGTTGAAAAAGAAAGAGAAACTTGAAATTGTTGGAGTTCAGAGCAGAGTTGGCTTACTTTTCAAGTCATTGTCTTTCGTCTTTTCCCTCGTGAAACAAAACTGAATAGTCAATATTGCTGAATAGTATGAGAAATCTATTTGTTTGTTTGTTTGGTTTCTTTTGTCATGATACATTTTTTCTTTGTTCGAGTTTGATTTATATGATTTGTTTTAATTGCGTCGTGATACTAAACATAAGTTAATTTAATCGATTAAAAACTATGATGCGCACTATGGACAGAAGGCATGCAAATAAATTATTTTGAAAGCTCTGCAACACCAACGAGAAGCCAAAGAGAATCAAGTAGCGCTTGCTTGCAACACAAGCATCTATTAATGTGACTCTATCTCATTTGTCACAGTACCTGTGATTGTTTTAGTTGTCTGGTAGACAAAATCAGGAAGGAAGGCAAGCCAGAATAAAGTAGACTTTCTTTTATTGATTCAATAGAATAAAGTAGACTTTCTTTTATTGATTCAATAGACTTATTAGTTTGTTTTCCTAGCAAGATGTATCCAAAAATGGTAATGTTCCAAGTTTTCCCACTCTTTATACAAACAACTCTTAAGAAATTTTGATCATCGACAAACAATTTTGCTCTGCATTTATTTGTTATAATCTAAGATAAAAAAATAAAAAAACAATGAAAAACTCTATTTTAGATCAATGGTATTTCATCCAGGTAGGTATATCAATGGTAACGATTTTATCATGTGTTTTAGGAAAGCGGCACATGAGAATTCATGAGAAAGCAGAAGATCTTTTTTTAGAGAATAGTCAAGTGAAAGAAGACGACAAAAACAAGAACATAAATCCAGAAGAAAATGATATCGAGAAGAATTTATAGGAAAAAAAGATAAAGAACTGAGAAGAAGCACAATGATCACATTCTATACAACCAATAAAAAAGAATTATACAGCCTGAAACGTGTAACTCAAGTTTTTCCATGCAAATTTGAAGCTTTTGTGTGAGATTTGGCTCATTGTGTTTTGTAACTGTACAAATACACACAGATTTCTCTACTTTTGCTATATAGTATTTATTCATTTATGGAGTTACAATCGATTGTTCTTGCCTCCTCTGCTTCTCACTTTCACTTTCTTCTCCATTAAACCGATCTACACTGTTTATGAATATCCCTGCCAAAACAAAATTCGCAACAAAAACAGCTTCTTGATTTGGAACAAGAAAGATTTATCTAGGTTCAAGAATTGAGATTTGCTTTTTACCTATAAACCATATTGCAGCAGCTAAGAACAGAACCGATGTAAGGATCAATCCTGTTTTTCTCCAACTGTTGATATGATCCTGCACATACAACAACAATGGAGCATTTTGGTTTCTGTTTGCATATTCTCATATTGGCGATGACAAGAAGAGATCATTTTTTTACCTGAACGATACCGACAAGAGGAGAAGAAAGAACATCGCCAAATATGTGAATCGCGACGGTAGAGATAGCCATTGATAATGGTCTTAAACTTGGTTTCACACAATGCAAACACACATAATTCACAGGAGCCTGAAGAAGAAGAGAAGAAGAAGATTGAGATATATAACAATATTACAACAACAATAAGGCTCCAAGTTTTTTACCTGTGTAGCAAACACAAGAAGCTCTCCTAAGGCAAAGAGAGCGATGAAACCGTATAAACTCTTTAAGGTAAATGCAGTGAAGCAAAAGATCGCTCCAAGAAACGTTGCTCCGGATAAAAGCTGCATACAAAGATCAAAAAGGTTTTGATTCAAAATCCGAAAACAAGAAGAGAGAAAAAGCTTTTTCTTCTTCACTTTAAAAGCATTTGGAATTGTTGCGGTGACACGATCGAGTATAAACCCTCCTGATAATGTCCCACTGATCCCACAAATGATAGTTACTGCACCGAAGATCATATCGGCGTTTTTCTGACAAGATAAAGTTCTTATCAGAAAACAAACTTTCAAGAACCCTCAAGAAGAAAGATTGATAGAAACACATGTTTCACCATTTTGTAAATGCTATAACCAGCCTTTGGTCCCCAATATGAGTATGCACCAATAACAAAGTTGTATGATACATAACCTGTTAAAACCAAGTTATATCAATCAATGAAGAAGATAAAGTAAGAAGAATAGTGAAAAAGTAAAGAGTAAAACATAATTACCTAAGACATTAACAACAAAGACTTTTTCTTTACATAAAACTTTCATATCTTTCGCAAACTGAGTAAACGATTTCGGAACTGCGTTCTTTTAACTTGACCTGTCACAGTTGAAGTAAAAATATTTGATAAATCTAATACAAAACGTATGGAAGAACATTTTTAAGATAAATGAAATCAAACTCAACTTGTAAGTTTCAATGGAGACCTCAATCTCATTACCACCAGCTTGAAGATGATTCTTGTTTTTAGATGTCTCTGCGTCTGCAAAATAGACAAAACTCTCACTGCACAACTGTGTAATCAAGGCACATTATCATTAACATACAAGAAAGGTGAAAAATTTTACCATCTGATGAAGCCATCTTTATAGAATCAGTAGAAGGAAACCCTGTTTCCTTTTTCCTTTCTCTGATCAATATCTCTAACAGTTCATGCTTGAAAGTGAAACAGAAGACAGAATCTGTTCTTAACCTTTTAACTGTAGAGGTTTCATCAAGAAACCAAGAACAGCAAATGGAGCCATTAAAACAGCTTCTCCCCAAAACGCATAGCGCCAACTAAAATGTTTTCCAACCTAAAGAATCAACAAGAAGGAATCACAACATTCTTTAATATCATTAGTTTCAACAATACTAATTCATAAAGGTTTTATACATACGTATCCGCCATAGACATAGCCCAAAGCAACACCACTTGGTATACACATGTAAAACACACCAAGCCACACAGCTTTCTGAAGAACAAGCAAAAGGGTTTAATCAGAAATGGACTCCATAAGATGTGCAAAAAAAAGGTTAAAAGAGAAACCTGTTTGTGAGGAGCATTATCATCTATAAATGGAGCTGCAAGACTGATGAAAGAAGCTTCACCTACACCAACGAACCTATCCAGTAATAATAGTCATACAAATCAAAATTTGGAGAAAACAAAGTCAAACCATAAACAAGAACAAAACTTAACTTACATGCGACATAAGACGATAAACCAAAAGGCAAAGGAACTTCCACAACCAAGAACTGCAATAGTCCAAACAGTTAAGCCTACTCCAATAAGTCTAAATGGATTGAAACTGCACTAGAAACAATAAACCACTTCAATAAGCTGTATTTTGTTTAGGCATTAAAAGAAGAAAAAAATGAAAAATGTTTCCTAACCTTTTTGCTAATGAAGCAAAGATTGGTGATGCAATAAGAAGTCCAACCATAAATGAAGATGACAACACACCATCTTCGAAATTGCTTAATTTGAAATGTCCCCTAGAAGAAGTAACAAATTTGAGTATAACATAGCAGTAAATATAAAAGCTTTGGGACTTAAACAACCAAACTCTTACTGAATTCCAGTTGCAGGGTTGCATTTGCCCTTATCATTACAAGTCCTGATATTGCCATTGACACCATTGCTCGCTATAGCACCACGATCCATGTAGTTTAACAAGTTAATGATGAGATCACAAGTAACCTGGAAAAAAAAAGAGTTTTGATGAAGATAATGATGCAGCAAAGAAATACAGAGTTCTGTGTCAAAGACCAAACCAGTATCTTTAGCATATATAAATTGGAATGCAAAGAGATCAAAACACACAATCACAAATGAGATTCAGAGTCTTAAACGGAAGAACAAAGACAAATCATGGGAAAAGCTTTCAACTTTGCACCGTTTTATTGGTATTCGAAGCGTGAAGGGAGATGTCAAAATTCGTACACTCATGGCGGGAAGAGAGGAAAAGTGAAGAGTAAAGCAATGATTGATGTACCAAATGGGAGACAGAAAGGAAGATTCGACGATGTCAAAATTCTTGATAACTTTTTTTTAAAGACAAATTTTATTAATTGAAACCTGAAACAAGACAAAAGTTTTACAAGAGATTGCACAAGTGCAAAGCATTAAAACAACAAAACTTGCAGTAGTAAATAGTGGAATCTTCCGTATCGACTATACTAAAATAATCAATGTTGAACAAACTAGCCACGACACACCTCTTCCCCGACCACATTTAGCTATTTTCCATTGCGTATCCTTTACTTTGGCAGACGGCTTGACAGATCTCTCACCAAGAATTCTTTGACCAGAAGGGGTCATGAAATCCGACGGTTGAGGATCCTTATCTAGAACCGTCGTATCTTCTTCATCTAGAACCGTTGTTGCATCTTCTTCATCAGAAAATTCAAGAGCTAAGAACCCATTCTTAATCAAAGATGAGGTAGACAGAGACTTCTAAACAGCATGAGCCGCTCTACTAGATAAGAGTCTCTCTTGGCGAGACCATCTCAGATTTTTTATTTGGAGTCGTATTAGGAAGAGGGGTTGTAGAGTGAATACCTGAGGAGGCCGTATGAACCATAGTGTTAGAAACATGAATCAGATCATTTCCGATTTCCTTCTCCCTTCTTTCCAAAGATGTTTCCATAACTGTGGTATCTGAAGGTGACCAAGGAGATACAAACATCAAGCAGTCGTCAACCTCTCTGAAGGACCATATAGGGGTTGACTCGTGTGGAATGTGGAATAAGATTCCGAATGAAGATTCATTTCCTTCCCCAAATCCTCTAGAAGGAGCTGAGCAGCAGTAAAATTGACCTACCACAAATTCTTTTTGGTTCTCTAAACCACCTAGACGAAAATGAGAAGGTATTTTAACCTCCAAGTACTCAGTGTTGTCTTTAGCAAGTGAAGATCAAATGCGAAGATCTATGATCACATTGAGGACGTGGAGAAGTGTTTGCCAGCGTGGAGCATCGCCACGTTAACAAGTCTTGCAGGACCACAAGAGGATGGAGCCGTTGCTGCAGCTACTACATTTAAGGGTAAAGCAAAAACTGTTCTTGTCCTATTCGAAACTAAGAGTGAAGGATGAGTTGATTGGTGTTGCTACACGCCAAAGAAAGGCTCTTTTGTGGAGGCTGCAAAGAAGACTAGGTTAAGGTGATGTCTCAGTATATATATGCTTTAGGCATTGGCGTTTGAGATAGAGACACAAGATTAAGACATTTCATTCATTTTGTATAAACGATTGAGTGAGTGTTCTTGAGTGGGGATACAAAGAAGTAGAGAGAAAACATAGAGTGAGCTTTGTAAGGGGCTTGTGGGTTTTCGGATCTCTTGTAACTTCTGGTATCTAGTGGATTCCGGGGAAGGTCCCGGCGAGACGTAGCGACCCTTGTTAATGGGCGTGAACTCGTAAAACTCTGTGTGTGCTCTGTTTTTCCTCTGTTTCGTTCTCTCTTCTTTCCTTCAAACTTCATTCACAGATCTTCTCTTAATGTGTTAGCGGATAAAGCTCGAAAAAGGAAACCCCTTGAGCTGATATTTGCATAACATATTGGTAGCAGAGCCAGGTTACGGCGTTTTGTGGCGGGTCCTTAAGATCTGAAAGGTCTTTGAAAGAGGATGTCGTCGTCAAGGGTTGATATGGATAAGTTCGACGGCCATGGTGATTACACGACATGGAAGGACAAGTTACTTGCTCACATAGATCTTCTTGGTCTAACAAAGGCGCTAGAAGAATCGGAGATTTTAGCAGAGAAGTACTGGGATCCTGATGAAGGAGACAACTCAGCCGAAAGAGAAAAGGAGGAGTCTTTCGCCGAGAAGAAGAAGAAAGCTAGGAGCACCATAGTTTTGAGTCTCACTGACAGAATCCTGAGGAAAGTCAGGAAGGAGGTTACTGCAGGAGCTATGCTTAGAGCTCTAGATAATCTCTACCTAGCAAAAGCGCTTCCGAACAGGATGTACCTGAAGCAAAAGCTTTACAGCTACAGGATGTCAGAAAGTCAGTCCATTGAAGCAAATATGGATGACTATCTTTGCCTCTTAACCGACCTGGAGAACGCTGATATAGTGGTGTCTGATGAAGATCAAGCGATTCTGTTACTCATGTCCCTCCCGAAGCAGTTCGAGCAGCTAAGGGATACTCTCAAGTATAGCTCAAGGAAAAAGACTCTAACTTTAGATGAAGTGGTCACGGCCATAAACTCAAAGGAGTTAGAGCTTGGATCAAGCTCGAAGAGTTCCAAAGCTCCCTCAGAGGGACTGTATGTCAAGGATAAAGGAGAGCAAAGGAGTAAAGGAGAATACAAGGAAAGATCTTCAAAGCAGAACAAGTCGAAGGGTAAATCCAAGAAACAGAAGCTCTGTTGGATTTGTGGTGAAGAAGTGCATTTTAGAAACATGTGCCCGAACAAGAATAAGTTCCCAAACAAGTCTAAGAGTCAAGAAAACAGCAGAGGCGAAGCTGCTTTGGCAAAGGGGAACAAGTCTGAAGCTGCAGGTCTGTACGTATCAGAAGCGCTACATTTAACAGGTTTAAACTTGGAAGATGTTTGGGTAATGGATACTGGATGCAGCTATCATATGACTTATAAGCGTGAGTGGTTCGAGGACTTCATGGAAGATGCAAGAGGCTCAGTCAGAATGGGTAACAAGACAACGTCAAAGGTCAGGGGTATTGGGAATGTCAGAATCAGAAACGAAGATGGAACAACGGTTCTGTTAACACACGTGAGATACATTCCTGATATGGACAGGAACTTGCTTTCTATTGGGACCATGGAGGAGCAAGGATGTAGTTTTGAGTAAAAAGATGGGTTCTTGCGAATCAAAGATGGAGTCAGAACACTCTTGACAGGTAAGCGATATGAGAAGCTTTACATACTGCAAGGAAAGCCTGAAGTTGGTCAGCTAAATGTTGCAGAAAGAAGGAATGATGACACAGTTTTATGGTATCGAAGACTAGGGCACATGAGTCAGAGAAACATGGATCTACTAGTTAGAAAAGGTCTTCTTGACAGAAAGAAAATCTCTATTCTGGGGCTGTGTGAAGACTGTGTATACGGGAAGGCTAAGAGAGTCAGTTTTGCAGCAGCTACTCATGACACAAAGGAAAGGCTGGATTACATCCATTCTGATCTATGGGGGGCTCCATCTGTTCCGCAATCTTTAGGAAAATGTCAGTATTTCATCTCCTTTATAGATGATTTTACTAGAAAGACATGGGTGTATTTCCTAAAGCATAAGGATGAAGCTTATGGAACCTTTGTTGAGTGGAGCACAATGATCGAGAATCAAACTGAAAGAAGGATCAAAGTTCTGCGAACTGACAATGGGCTTGAGTTCTGCAATCAGCTATTCAAAGAGTACTGCAGAAGCAAGGGGATAGTAAGGCACAGAACGTGTGCTTACACACCTCAGCAAAATGGCATTGCAGAGAGGATGAATAGGACTATCATGGAGAAGGTGAGAAGTATGTTAAGTGATTCTGGCTTACCGAAGAAGTTTTGGGCTGAAGCGACACACACTGCAGTTACTCTTATCAACAAAACCCCATCTTCTGCAATCAACTTCGAGATACCAGATAAGAAATGGTCTGGGAAAGCTCCGGTTTACAGTTACTTGAGAAGGTTCGGGTGTGTTGCCTTTGTACACTCAGACGATGGGAAGTTAACGCCAAGAGCAAAGAAAGGAGTTCTGCTTGGGTATCCTACAGGAGTGAAAGGCTACAAAGTATGGTTGTTGGAAGAGAGGAAGTGTGCTATCAGCAGAAACGTGATTTTTCAGGAGAATGCAGTCTATAAAGATGTGATTCTGAGAGGAAAAGGACCTGAAAATAATGAAAGGGAAGCAACTGAATCAGTATTTGATATCGATCTTGGAGAAATAGGTGATATGAGCTCTGGTGGAGACGTGTTGGAAGAAGACAGTCATCCTGAAGAACAGTCTGAAGGACAGAGTTCACCTCAGCAAGAGAATCAAACTGACGAAGAAGCTGTACCAGATACTCCAGAAAGTTATCACCTGGTGCGTGACAGAGCAAGAAGAGAAGTCATAGCAAAGAAAAGGTTTGCTATTGAAGGATACTTCAGTGAAGATAATGACAGCGAAGATGAAGAGTATTTTGATGCAGAAGCTCTCGTCACTACAATGGAAGGTGATAAACTGGAACCTGAATGCTACGAAGAAGCTCGCAGAGATCAAGACTGGGTTCTGTGGGAAGGTGGCATGAATGAAGAAATGGATTCTCACAAGAAGAATCACACCTGGACAGTGGTTACTAGACCAGAAGGTCAAAGAGTGATCGGGTGCAAATGGGTCTACAAGCGTAAGCCTGGGATTCCTGGAGTAGAAGCACCAAGGTTCAAAGCTAGGCTTGTAGCTAAGGGATATGCTCAAAGGGAGGGAGTGGACTACACTGATATATTTGCACCAGTAGTAAAACATGTCTCCATAAGGATTATGTTGGCTATTGTTGTAGAAGAGGATCTGGAGCTTGAACAGCTTGATGTTAAAACTGCATTTCTTCATGGGGAACTAGATGAGAAGATCTATATGGAGGTTCCAGAGGGTTTTGCAGATCAGTTCAAGTCAGATCAAGTTTGTCTACTGAACAAATCTCTGTATGGTTTGAAGCAAGCACCAAGGAAGTGGAACCAGAAGTTTGACAGTTTCATGACAGAGATTGGATTTGAGAAAAGTCTGAGGGATAGCTGTGCTTACATGAAAACTCTCAAAGATGGTTCGATGATCTATCTACTTATCTATGTAGATGATATGCTAGTGGCGGCTAAGAACAAAGGAGCTATCTCAGAGCTGAAGGAACAACTTAGTGTTAAGTTTGAGATGAAGGATCTCGGAGCAGCCAAGATGATACTTGGTATGGAGATCACTCGGAACAGAGCTGCAGGGAAGCTATGGTTATCGCAAGAAGGATATTTGAGTAAGGTTTTGGAGCTGTGCAAGATGGAGCAAGCGAACAAAGTAGTAACACCACTCGGAGCTCATCTGAAAATGTGTGCAGGAACGGAGAAACAGTTACTCGAGGATGCAGAGTATATGAAATCAGTGCCTTACTCAAATGCTGTTGGAAGTATCATGTACTCAATGATTGGGACAAGACCAGACTTGTCATATCCCGTGGGAGTCATCAGCAGATTCATGAGCAGTCCCATCAAAGAACATTGGTTGGGAGTAAAATGGGTGCTGAGATACATCAAAGGTACGATGGGAACAAAGCTATGCTACAGCAGAGGTTCTGAGTTCATTCTCAAGGGTTATTGCGATTCAGACTTTGCAGCTGATGTGGATAGAAGAAGGTCAGTGAGTGGAATGGTTTTCACTCTAGGAAGAAACACAATCAGTTGGAGGTCTGCGTTACAAAAGGTGGTTGCTCTGTCAACTATAGAAGCCGAAT